ATACAACGTAACAATCACAGTCCCGTGTACAGGACATACAACGTAACAATCACAGTCCCGTGTACAGGACATACAATGTAACAATCACAGTCCCGTGTACAGGACATACAATGTAACAATCACAGTCCCGTGTACAGGACATACAACGTAACGATCACAGCCCCGTGTACAGGACATACGATGTAACGATCACAGTCCCGTGTACAGGACATACAATGTAACGATCACAGCTCCGTGTACAGGACATACAATGTAACGATCACAGTCCCGTGTACAGGTGATACAATGTAACGATCACAGTCCCGTGTACAGGACATACAATGTAACAATCACAGTCCCGTGTACAGGACATACAATGTAACAATCACAGTCCCGTGTACAGGACATACAATGTAACAATCACAGCCCCGTGTACAGGACATACAATGTAACGATCACAGCCCCGTGTACAGGACATACGATGTAACGATCACAGTCCCGTGTACAGGACATACAATGTAACAATCACAGTCCCGTGTACAGGACATACGATGTAACAATCACAGTCCCGTGTACAGGACATACAATGTAACAATCACAGCCCCGTGTACAGGACATACAATGTAACGATCACAGTCCCGTGTACAGGACATACAATGTAACGATCACAGTCCCGTGTACAGGACATACAATGTAACGATCACAGTCCCGTGTACAGGACATACAATGTAACGATCACAGTCCCGTGTACAGGTGATACAATGTAACGATCACAGTCCCGTGTACAGGACATACAATGTAAGGATCACAGTCCCGTGTACAGGACATACAATGTAGCGATCACAGTCCCGTGTACAGGACATACAATGTAACGATCACAGTCCCGTGTACAGGACATACGATGTAACGATCACAGTCCCGTGTACAGGACATACAATGTAACAATCACAGTCCCGTGTACAGGACATACAATGTAACGATCACAGTCCCGTGTACAGGTGATACAATGTAACGATCACAGTCCCGTGTACAGGACATACAATGTAAGGATCACAGTCCCGTGTACAGGACATACAATGTAGCGATCACAGTCCCGTGTACAGGACATACAATGTAACGATCACAGTCCCGTGTACAGGACATACGATGTAACGATCACAGTCCCGTGTACAGGACATACGATGTAACGATCACAGTCCCGTGTACAGGACATACAATGTAACAATCACAGTCCCGTGTACAGGACATACAATGTAACAATCACAGTCCCGTGTTGGTCTGTAGAATGTCGGGATCACAGGCAGTAGCGTTGTACTCGGCCATATTTGGCACTTTTATTGACCTTGGAAGGGTGTCTCATCTTCAGGGTCATGTCCTGATATTTCGGGGCCCCCGGGGCCCCTTGGGGGACATCCAGGGATGGCGGCGCTCAGGACAGACACATCTCTATATTTAGATTAGGAACATTGTGTCTGGATATATCCGTTACCGCGGTGACCAGGAGCCCCCCCCCCCCCCGCTTCCTCTCATTTCATATGGTGAGTCAGTCCCTGATAGGGCACCGAGGAACCCTCCAGAAATGGGCCCCGTGGGGCCCCGTCTGTCTCTCTTCCTTCCTCCTGGATGGCAGACAGTCCGACCCAATGGCTGGCCAAGAGGTGACACCATGGCCCATCACCCAGCTCTGCGGGGGTTAAATGAGTCCATTCTGGTTGTCACCTCTCCATCATCTAAACAGGATGTGCGGCCGACCGCGGGGCCCCTCCCTCCTGCATCCTGTTTATTCTGCTATATCCCCTCCTTACACCTCCTTGTCACCCCAGGGTCACCGGGAACCAGGCCAGGGTTCAGCCAGGACGCCGGTCCCCGATGGACCCAACAACAGGGAACCAGGCCAGGGACAAGCCAACGGCTGCCACCGGTTCAGCCAGGACACCGGTCCCCGAAGGACCCAACAACAGGGAACCAGGCCAAGGACAAGCCAACGGCTGCCACCAGTCCCCGAAGGACCCAACAACAGGGAACCAGGCCAGGGAAAACCCAACGTCTGCCACCGGTCCCCGAAGGACCCAACAACAGGGAACCAGGCCAAGGACAAGCCAACGGCTGCCACCGGTCCCCGAAGGACCCAACAATAGGGAACCAGGCCAGGGTTCAGCCAGGACGCCGGTCCCCGATGGACCCAACAACAGGGAACCAGGCCAGGGAAAACCCAACGTCTGCCACCGGTTCAGCCAGGACACCAGTCCCCGAAGGACCCAACAACAGGGAACCAGGCCAAGGACAAGCCAACGGCTGCCACCGGTCCCCGAAGGACCCAACAACAGGGAACCAGGCCAAGGACAAGCCAACGGCTGCCACCAGTCCCCGAAGGACCCAACAATAGGGAACCAGGCCAGGGTTCAGCCAGGACGCCGGTCCCCGAAGGACCCAACAACAGGGAACCAGGCCAGGGAAAACCCAACGTCTGCCACCGGTCCCCAAAGGACCCAACAACAGGGAACCAGGGCAGGGAAAACCCAACGTCTGCCACCAGTCCCCGAAGGACCCAGCAACAGGGAACCAGGCCAGGGTTCAGCCAGGACGCCGGTCCCCGAAGGACCCAACAACAGGGAACCAGGCCAGGGAAAACCCAACGTCTGCCACCGGTTCAGCCAGGACGCCGGTCCCCGAAGGACCCAACAACAGGGAACCAGGGACAAGCCAACGTCTGCCACCAGTCCCTGAAGGACCCAACAATAGGGAACCAGGCCAGGGAAAACCCAACATCTGCCATCGGTCCCCGAAGGACCCAACAACAGGGAACCAGGCCAAGGACAAGCCAACGGCTGCCACCAGTCCCCGAAGGACCCAACAATAGGGAACCAGGCCAGGGTTCAGCTAGGACGCCGGTCCCCGAAGGACCCAACAACAGGGAACCAGGCCAGGGAAAACCCAACGTCTGCCACCGGTCCCCGAAGGACCCAACAACAGGGAGCCAGGCCAGGGAAAACCCAACGTCTGCCACCGGTCCCCGAAGGACCCAACAACAGGGAACCAGGCCAGGGTTCAGCCAGGACGCCGGTCCCCGAAGGACCCAACAACAGGGAACCAGGCCAGGGAAATCCCAACGTCCGGCACCGGTCCCCAAAGGACCCAACAACAGGGAGCCAGGCCAGGGAAAACCCAACATCTGCCATCGGTCCCCGAAGGACCCAACAACAGGGAACCAGGCAAGGGACAAGCCAACGGCTGCCATTGGTCCCCGAATGACCCAACAATAGGGAACCAGTCCAGGGACAAGCCAATGTCTGCCACCGGATCTGCTAGGACACCGGTCCCCAAAGGACCCAATAACAGGGAACCAGGCCAGGGAAAACCCAACGTCTGCCACCGGTCCCCGAAGGATCCAACAATAGGGAACCAGGCCAGGGAAAAGCCAACGTCTGCCACCAGTTCAGCCAAGACATCGGTCCCCGAAGGACCCAACAATACAAGTGGTGTCTGATGCCAGTCCCTGAAAGACCCATCCATATACACTATATTGCCCCAAGTATTGGGCCGCCGGTCTTTTCACGCACATGACCTTTAATGGCCTCCCTGTCTTAGTCCGTAGGGTTCAATATTGAGTTGGCCCCGCCCTTTGCAGCTATAACAGCTTCAACTCTTCTGGGAAGGCCGTCCACAAGGTTTAGGAGGGTGTCTATGGGAAGGTTGGACCATTCTTCCAGAAACACATTTGTCAGGTCAGGCACTGATGTCGGGGGAGGGGCACTGATGTCGGGGGAGGGGCACTGATGTCGGGGGAGGAGGCACTGATGTCGGGGGAGGAGGCCTGGCTCGCAGTCTCCGCTCTAATTCATCCCAAAGGGGTTCTATGGGGTTGAGGTCAGGACTCTGTGCAGGACAGTCAAGTTCCTCCACCCCAAACTGGCTCCTCCATGTCTTTATGGACCTTGCTTTGTGCACTGGTGGGCAGTCATGTTGGAACAGGAAGGGGCCATCCCCAAAGTCCTCCCACAAAGTTGGGAGCATGAAATTGTCCAAAATGTGGCCTTAAGAGCTCCCTTCACTGGAACTAGGGGGCCAAGCCCAACCCCTGAAGAACACCTCCACACCATAATCCCCCCTCCACCAAACTTTACACTTGGCACAATGCAGTCAGGTAAGTACCGTTCTCCTGGCCACCGCCAAACCCAGACATGTCCATCGGATTGCCAAACAGAGAAGCGTGATTGGTCCCTCCAGAGAACACGTGTCCCCTGCTCTAGAGTCCAGTGGCGGCGTGCTTTACACCACGGCATCCGACGCTTTGCATTGCACTTGGTGATGGAAGGCTTGGATGCAGCTGCTCTAGAGTCCAGTGGCGGCGTGCTTTACACCACGCCATCCGATGCTTTGCATTGCACTTGGTGGTGGAAGGTTTGGATGCAGCTGCTCTAGAATCCAGTGGCGGCGTGCTTTACACCACGGCATCTGACGCTTTGCATTGCACTTGGTGATGGAAGGCTTGGATGCAGCTGCTCGGCCATGGAAACCCATTCCATGAAGCTCTCTACACACTGTTGTTGGACTCATCTGAAGGCCACACCAAGTTTGGAGGTCTTTAGCTATTGACTCTGCAGACAGTTGGCGACTTCTGCGCTGACCCCGCCCTGTCATGTGACGTGGCCTACCACTTGGTGGCTGAGTGGCTGTTGTTCCCAGTGGCTTCCACTTTGTTATAATCCCACTAACATTTGAGCGTGGAATATTTAGTAGCCAGGAAATGTCACGGATGGACTTATTGCCCAGGTGGCCACCTATCACGGGACCACGCTTGGAGTCACTGAGCTCCTGAGAGCGACCCATTCTTTCACCAATGTTTGTAGAAGCCGTCTGCATGCCTAGGGGCTTGATTGTATACACCTGTGTCCATGGAGGGGATTGGAACACCTGAATCACATGATATGGAGGGGATTGGAACACCTGAATCACAATATGGAGGGGATTGGAACACCTGAATCACATGATATGGAGGGGATTGGAACACCTGAATCACTTGATTGGGAGGCGATTGGAACACCTGAATCACATGATATGGGGGGGATTGGAACACCTGAATCACATGATACGGAGGGGATTGGAACACCTGAATCACATGATATGGAGGGGATTGGAACATCTGCATCACATGATATGGAGGGGATTGGAACACCTAAATCACATGATATGGAAGGGATTGGAACACCTGAATCACATGATTTGGAGGGGATTGGAAAACCTGAATCACATGATATGGAGGGGATTGGAACACCTGAATCACATGATTGGGAGGGGATTGGAGCACCAGAATCACATGATATGGAGGGGATTGGAACACCTGAATCGCATGATATGGAGGAGATTGGAACACCTGAATCACATTATTGGGAGGCGATTGGAACACCTGAATCACATGATATGGAGGGGATTGGAACACCTGATTCACATGATTGGGAGGTGATTGGAACACCTAAATCATATGATATGGAAGGGATTGGAACACCTGAATCACATGATATGGAGGGGATTGGAAAACCTGAATCACATGATATGGAGGGGATTGGAACACCTGAATCACATGATATGGAGGAGATTGGAACACCTGAATCACATGATATGGAGGGGATTGGAACACCTGAATCACATGATATGGAGGAGATTGGAACACCTGAATCACACTCCCTGCAGCATAGAAGTCAGCGCTCTCCCTTGGAGTCCCCCCAGATCACCAGAATCAATGTCCCCATTGGAAGATTTCCCCTCTCTTCCTGTTCTGGGGACAACCCAACATTTGGGATTTTCTTTACTTTCCATAATAATGATAATCAGAACAAATAGAGAGGAGGAATCTGCGCAACGGGGACACAGAGGGGGAATCTGCACACCGGGGACACAGAGGGGGAATCTGCACACCGGGGATACAGAGGGGGAATCTGCACAACGAGGACACAGAGGGGGAATCTGCACAATGGGGACACAGAGGGGGAATCTGCACAATGGGGACACAGAGGGGGAATCTGCGCAATGGGGACACAGAGGGGGAATCTGCGCAACGGGGACACAGAGGGGGAATCTCCGCAATGGGGACACGGAGGGGGAATCTGCGCAACAGGGACACAGAGGGGGAATCTGCACAATGGGGACACGGAGGGGGAATCTGCGCAACGGGGACACAGAGGGGGAATCTGCGCAATGGGGACACAGAGGGGGAATCTGCGCAACGGGGACACAGAGGGGGAATCTGCGCAATGGGGACACAGAGGGGGAATCTGCACACCGGGGATACAGAGGGGGAATCTGCACAACGAGGACACAGAGGGGGAATCTGCACAATGGGGACACAGAGGGGGAATCTGCACAATGGGGACACAGAGGGGGAATCTGCACACCGGGGACACAGAGGGGGAATCTGCGCAACGGGGACACAGAGGGGGAATCTGCACACCGGGGACACAGAGGGGGAATCTGCACACCGGGGACACAGAGGGGGAATCTGCACAACGAGGACACAGAGGGGGAATCTGCACAATGGGGACACAGAGGGGGAATCTGCACAACGGGGACACAGAGGGGGAATCTGCGCAATGGGGACACAGAGGGGGAATCTGCGCAACGGGGACACAGAGGGGGAATCTCCGCAATGGGGACACAGAGGGGGAATCTGCACAACGAGGACACAGAGGGGGAATCTGCACAATGGGGACACAGAGGGGGAATCTGCACAATGGGGACACAGAGGGGGAATCTGCACAATGGGGACACAGAGGGGGAATCTGCGCAATGGGGACACAGAGGGGGAATCTGCGCAATGGGGACACAGAGGGGGAATCTGCGCAACGGGGACACAGAGGGGGAATCTGCACAATGGGGACACAGAGGGGAATCTGCGCAATGGGGACACAGAGGGGGAATCTGCGCAACGGGGACACAGAGGGGGAATCTCCGCAATGGGGACACAGAGGGGGAATCTGCGCAACGGGGACACAGAGGGGGAATCTGCGCAATGGGGACACGGAAGGGGAATCTGCGCAACAGGGACACAGAGGGGGAATCTGCACAATGGGGACACGGAGGGGGAATCTGCGCAACGAGGACACAGAGGAGGGAATCTGCGCAATGGGGACACAGAGGGGGAATCTGCGCAACGGGGACACAGAGGGGGAATCTGCGCAATGGGGACACAGAGGGGGAATCTGCACAACGAGGACACAGAGGGGGAATCTGCACAATCGGGACACAGAGGGGGAATCTGCACAATCGGGACACAGAGGGGGAATCTGCACAATCGGGACACAGAGGGGGAATCTGCACAACGAGGACACAGAGGGAGAATCTGCACAACGAGGACACAGAGGGGGATCTGCACAACGAGGACACAGAGGAGGGAATCTGCGCAATGGGGACACAGAGGGGGAATCTGCGCAACGGGGACACAGAGGGGGAATCTGCGCAACGGGGACACAGAGGGGGAATCTGCACACCGGGGACACAGAGGGGGAATCTGCACACCGGGGATACAGAGGGGGAATCTGCACAACGAGGACACAGAGGGGGAATCTGCACAATGGGGACACAGAGGGGGAATCTGCACAATGGGGACACAGAGGGGGAATCTGCGCAATGGGGACACAGAGGGGGAATCTGCGCAACGGGGACACAGAGGGGGAATCTCCGCAATGGGGACACGGAGGGGGAATCTGCGCAACAGGGACACAGAGGGGGAATCTGCACAATGGGGACACGGAGGGGGAATCTGCGCAACGGGGACACAGAGGGGGAATCTGCGCAATGGGGACACAGAGGGGGAATCTGCGCAACGGGGACACAGAGGGGGAATCTGCGCAATGGGGACACAGAGGGGGAATCTGCACACCGGGGATACAGAGGGGGAATCTGCACAACGAGGACACAGAGGGGGAATCTGCACAATGGGGACACAGAGGGGGAATCTGCACAATGGGGACACAGAGGGGGAATCTGCACACCGGGGACACAGAGGGGGAATCTGCGCAACGGGGACACAGAGGGGGAATCTGCACACCGGGGACACAGAGGGGGAATCTGCACACCGGGGACACAGAGGGGGAATCTGCACAACGAGGACACAGAGGGGGAATCTGCACAATGGGGACACAGAGGGGGAATCTGCACAACGGGGACACAGAGGGGGAATCTGCGCAATGGGGACACAGAGGGGGAATCTGCGCAACGGGGACACAGAGGGGGAATCTCCGCAATGGGGACACAGAGGGGGAATCTGCACAACGAGGACACAGAGGGGGAATCTGCACAATGGGGACACAGAGGGGGAATCTGCACAATGGGGACACAGAGGGGGAATCTGCACAATGGGGACACAGAGGGGGAATCTGCGCAATGGGGACACAGAGGGGGAATCTGCGCAACGGGGACACAGAGGGGGAATCTGCACAATGGGGACACAGAGGGGAATCTGCGCAATGGGGACACAGAGGGGGAATCTGCGCAATGGGGACACAGAGGGGGAATCTGCGCAACGGGGACACAGAGGGGGAATCTGCACAATGGGGACACAGAGGGGAATCTGCGCAATGGGGACACAGAGGGGGAATCTGCGCAACGGGGACACAGAGGGGGAATCTCCGCAATGGGGACACAGAGGGGGAATCTGCGCAACGGGGACACAGAGGGGGAATCTGCGCAATGGGGACACGGAAGGGGAATCTGCGCAACAGGGACACAGAGGGGGAATCTGCACAATGGGGACACGGAGGGGGAATCTGCGCAACGAGGACACAGAGGAGGGAATCTGCGCAATGGGGACACAGAGGGGGAATCTGCGCAACGGGGACACAGAGGGGGAATCTGCGCAATGGGGACACAGAGGGGGAATCTGCACAACGAGGACACAGAGGGGGAATCTGCACAATCGGGACACAGAGGGGGAATCTGCACAATCGGGACACAGAGGGGGAATCTGCACAATCGGGACACAGAGGGGGAATCTGCACAACGAGGACACAGAGGGAGAATCTGCACAACGAGGACACAGAGGGGGAATCTGCACAACGAGGACACAGAGGAGGGAATCTGCGCAATGGGGACACAGAGGGGGAATCTGCGCAACGGGGACACAGAGGGGGAATCTGCGCAATGGGGACACAGAGGGGGAATCTGCACAACCGCGACACAAAGGGGGAATCTGCACAATGGGGACACAGAGGGAGAATCTGCAAATCGGGACACAGAGGGGGAATCTGCACAATCGGGACACAGAGGGGGAATCTGCACAACGAGGACACAGAGGGGGAATCTGCACAACGAGGACACAGAGGGGGAATCTGCACAACGAGGACACAGAGGGGGAATCTGCACAACGAGGACACAGAGGGGGAATCTGCACAACGAGGACACAGAGGGGGAATCTGCACAATGGGGACACAGAGGGGGAATCTGCACAACGGGGACACAGAGGGTGAATCTGCACAATGGGGACACAGAGGGGGAATCTGCCTAATGGGGATACAGAGGGGGAATCTGCACAACCGCGACACAAAGGGGGAATCTGCACAATGGGGACACAGAGGGATAATCTGCACAATGGGGACACAGAGGGGGAATCTGCACAATGGGGACACAGAGGGGGAATCTGCACAATGGGGACACAAAGGGGGAATCTGCACAATGGGGACACAGAGGGAGAATCTGCACAATGGGGACACAGAGGGGGAATCTGCACAATGGGGACACAGAGGGGGAATCTGCACAATGGGGACACAGAGGGGGAATCTGCACAATGGGGACACAGCAACAACACCAGACAGGGGGTCTCCCCCCTCCATCCAGCCCAGAAATATGTGTTTCCCCTTTAGTAATACTTTAGTACCCCCCCCCCCCCCCCCCCCCCCCCCCCAATGATTCCGGTCCCCCGTATTCCGGTCTCTATATATCTGGTGAGAGGACGGATCCCGGACGGTGGGGACTCCTCCAAACTGGTCATTACTCCCCCCCCCCCCCCATGCCTGGACCCCCACGTATTCCCCGCATCCATTTATTTATTGATTTCCTTTAGCTCCGTGTTATGGGGGATTCCGAATGATTCCGGATTGTGGGGGGAACCCCCCCCCGGGGGAACCCCCCCATGAGGTGACAGATGACATTTCCAGCATCTCAGAAGATGATTGGAGGGAACGTGTCACCTGATCTCAGATGTTCTTTACTGAATTCTGCCCCTGGAGGTGTCAGAACATCCGACTTCCCACATTGGGAGCGGAGGGTGTCACCAATACGAAGGGGTCCTGTGGGGGGTCACATGCCTGATGAAGGGGTCCTGCGGGAGGGTCACATGCTTGATGAAGGGGTCCTGCGGGGGGGTCACATGCCTGATGAAGGGGTCCTGCGGGGGGTCACATGCCTGATGAAGGGGTCCTGCGGGAGGGTCACATGCCTGATGAAGGGGTCCTGCGGGGGGGTCACATGCCTGATGAAGGGGTCCTGCGGGGGGGTCACATGCCTGATGAAGGGGTCCTGCGGGGGGGGGTCACATGCCTGATGAAGGGGTCCTGCGGGGGGGTCACATGCCTGATGAAGGGGTCCTGCGGGAGGGTCACATGCCTGATGAAGGGGTCCTGCGGGGGGGTCACATGCCTGATGAAGGGGTCCTGCGGGGGGGGGTCACATGCCTGATGAAGGGG